AATTTAACAGAACAACATAGCATGTCAAACTGAAAAACATTCCGCGTGATTTAAATGAGTAAAAATAGTTTTATCCACCATATTATCATATAGATGTATTTCCCAAATCTACGTTTCCAACCAATATTCTCTTGAGAGTTACAAATTCAATACAATACAAAATTTTCTTTTCTGACCACACATTATATGTGAAAGTGGACTTGGGGATACTCCAATGTGGGGACTTTACTTAAATAAATTCCTATGTGGCAATTATCTGTATGATGGTTCCCTAACCCCTTAGAGACAAAGATGCCAAATAAGGGCCAAAATATGAAAAAAGTGGCCAAGACCCCAAAAATAGCTTAAATCATATGATGGTTATATAAATATAAAATCGGGTTGTACCCTTATCCGTGAGTTATGATCGATATCATGACCTGCAAAAGTGATTTAAGGTATCTTGAATGTTTGGGAAGAATTCCTGGAAGGATAGAAATCCTTTTCTTACTAAAAGTCCCATTCGCTCTATTATTTTGCACCCTTTAAATTTGGTATTTTACTGATTGTACTTCCAAAGAATTTTGCATTTTGAGCTCTCATTGGACGGATTATTGTCACATGAAAGAAGTAGGTCCACGCTTTGAAATGAGCTCCATTAGGCTTTTTCTGTCATTTTTGGTTGTTTAAATGTGTTCGCAAATACAAATTAAAAAAAAATGACAAAAGAAGAATAGCAAATTGAAAAAATCTTCAACTTGTTCGCTGATTTATTACAGCAAATGTTTAAAGACCCTTACTATTTTTTTAAAATTCGATTCCACTGAAAATCTTTTCGATTTTTTCCCGATTTGAGAATTTTTGCAATGAGATCTCTTTTTCGTGATTTTTTAGCGAATTTGAAAAAGTAATTATCTTTTAATTAATAATTATCTTTCTTTTGGTGTGACCGCGTTAAATTATTTCGATATCATCTATTCCGTTTCGCCACCATATAATTCGGTATTACACTTCCATGTAACCCGCCATCAATTTCAGTTCTCAAGAAATCAAGTCAATTAAATAAATTGGTTTTAATATTCGAATTCAAAAATAAAAAATAAAAAACACTACAAATGTACATTAGAAAAAAGCCAGTCAAAATAGAAAAAAATCATGCAAAATAAAACATTACTATTGTACATTTGAAAAGTCAAAATGAAAATGTTAATGTATCACATTTTTACGCGATTTTTTTTTTGATATTATCCTTTTCGGAGAGGAGACAACTCCTAATTTGTGTGAATTGTTAAAATCAGTCCAGCGGTTCTTAAGTTATAAGCGTAGTAACTAACACAACTTACATTTATATATATAGATTACAAAGCCTTTTCTATAAGGAAAAGAGAAAGTGTTCTCTTTAAGAAGTGTGTTTCTATTAAAAAAAAAGTAGTTGATTAGCTTCACGCGTTGTGCTTGCAGTACAGGGATGTTGGGATGTATATAATTAATGTCTTGGCATAGGGCAGTTCTAAGATGTATTCAGCCAAGATTCGAGGAAGTCGATTTGAATGTAATTGCAGGACTTTTTTAATATAACAGAAATGTGTTTTGAGTGTAGAAGAGAATGTGGAATTTAGACCAGTTTCCAGATAATGTAGTTCGGTGTGTTTTTAGGCAGGCATAACATTTTCTTTATGAAATAATAATTTTTGCACATCATCATGCTTCTGGTATCCCCAAACTTGAGAGGCATAACACAATATTGATTTAGATTTGGAAATTTTTGGACTTTTGATATATTTTGACCACGTTGATATTATTGTTGAATCGTCATTGAATTATACTATGATGAAAAATATGGTGGATAAAACTATTTTTACTCATTTAAATCACGCGAAATTTTTTTCAGTTGTTGTTGTTCTGCTATATTTTTGACTTGGTCTCTATTTGTCATATTGGATTATAAGGGCTAGAAGAATGTTTTCAATATAGGTCGATGTCTCGGAGTAGTGCCCATATAAAAGTACCTCCTGATTTTACCATACTTCAAAGGATTTGGCTAAAAATGTGTATTTGGGGGTGAAAATCTTACACAAAAATTTGAACATATCTACAAATTTTAGAATTTTTTCCATATAATAGTACCCCCTCAAGTCCACTTTTTGGCGGACAAACAGACCGACATGGTTAGAGGGACTTATAAGAACTCTAATGGACAATCTGAGGTGCTAATGGCTTTAAAAAAGTAATTTACTTTGGCTATTCTTAATTCATTCAACCTTCAATTATGAGGTGTACAAAATACAGTAAATTCCAAATTACTGCTCATTTGAATGGAAAATTATGCTACGATTTTTACCATACTAAAAATTAATTTGATCCCTTACATGGGGATAAGATTGATATATACATTTTAATAGATTTGTATAGCACATCCACACCTTTGAAGTCCACTGTTTAAATATTGAAGCCCACGGCTTAAATATGGGTACAGGTATTTAAAAAGCCTTTTAATCGACCAGTACGCGAACACTTATATCATTCATATCTTTGAATAATTATGCTTTGACAAATATGCATAATAGACAAAAACTACGGGCCGGCAACGCGGACCGGGCCAGCTAGTAAAATATAAAAAACACTACAAATGTACATTAGAAAAAAGTAAGTCAAAATGGAAAAAAATCATACAAAATAAAACATTACTATTGTACATTTGAAAAGTCAAAATGAAAATGTTAATATATCACATTTTTACGCGATTTTTCTGGATATTATCCTTTTCGGAGAGGAGACAACTCCGAATTTGTGTGAATCGTTAAAATCAGTCCAGCTGTTCTTAAGTTATAAGCGTAGTAACTAACACAACTTACATTTATATATATACTAGCTGGCCCGGTCCGCGTTGCCGGCCCGTAGTTTTTTCCTATTATGCATATTTGTCAAAGCATAATTATTCACAGATATGACTGATATAAGTGTTCCCGTACTGGTCGATTAAAAGTGTTTTAAAATACCTGTACCCATATTTAAGCCGTGGGCTTCAAAGGTGTGGATGTGCTATACAAATCTATTAAAAAGTATATATCAATCTTATCCCCATGTAAGGGATCAAATTAATTTTTAGTATGGTAAAAATCGTAGCAAAATCTTCCAGTGAAATGAGCAGTAATTTGGAATTTGCTGTATTTTGTACACCTCATAATTGAGCGCTGAATGAATTAAGAATAGCCAAAGTTAATTACTTTTTTAAGCCATTAGCACCTCAGATTGTCCATTAGCGTTCTTATAAGTCCCCCTAACCATGTCGGTCTGTTTGTCCGCCAAAAAGTGGACTTGAGGGGGTACTATTATATGGAAAAAATTCTAAAATTTGTAGATATGTTCATATTTTTGTGTAAGTTTTCACCCCACAAATACACATTTTTAGCCAAATCCTTTGAAATATGGTAAAATCAGGAGATACTTTTACATGGGCACTACTCCGAGACATCGACATGACAAATAGAGACCAAATCAAAAATTTAACAGAACAACATAGCATGTCAAACTGAAAAACATTCCGCGTGATTTAAATGAGTAAAAATAGTTTTATCCACCATATTATCATATAGATGTATTTCCCAAATCTACGTTTCCAACCAATATTCTCTTGAGAGTTACAAATTCAATACAATACAAAATTTTCTTTTCTGACCACACATTATATGTGAAAGTGGACTTGGGGATACTCCAATGTGGGGACTTTACTTAAATAAATTCCTATGTGGCAATTATCTGTATGATGGTTCCCTAACCCCTTAGAGACAAAGATGCCAAATAAGGGCCAAAATATGAAAAAAGTGGCCAAGACCCCAAAAATAGCTTAAATCATATGATGGTTATATAAATATAAAATCGGGTTGTACCCTTATCCGTGAGTTATGATCGATATCATGACCTGCAAAAGTGATTTAAGGTATCTTGAATGTTTGGGAAGAATTCCTGGAAGGATAGAAATCCTTTTCTTACTAAAAGTCCCATTCGCTCTATTATTTTGCACCCTTTAAATTTGGTATTTTACTGATTGTACTTCCAAAGAATTTTGCATTTTGAGCTCTCATTGGACGGATTATTGTCACATGAAAGAAGTAGGTCCACGCTTTGAAATGAGCTCCATTAGGCTTTTTCTGTCATTTTTGGTTGTTTAAATGTGTTCGCAAATACAAATTAAAAAAAAATGACAAAAGAAGAATAGCAAATTGAAAAAATCTTCAACTTGTTCGCTGATTTATTACAGCAAATGTTTAAAGACCCTTACTATTTTTTTAAAATTCGATTCCACTGAAAATCTTTTCGATTTTTTCCCGATTTGAGAATTTTTGCAATGAGATCTCTTTTTCGTGATTTTTTAGCGAATTTGAAAAAGTAATTATCTTTTAATTAATAATTATCTTTCTTTTGGTGTGACCGCGTTAAATTATTTCGATATCATCTATTCCGTTTCGCCACCATATAATTCGGTATTACACTTCCATGTAACCCGCCATCAATTTCAGTTCTCAAGAAATCAAGTCAATTAAATAAATTGGTTTTAATATTCGAATTCAAAAATAAAAAACACTACAAATGTACATTAGAAAAAAGCCAGTCAAAATAGAAAAAAATCATGCAAAATAAAACATTACTATTGTACATTTGAAAAGTCAAAATGAAAATGTTAATGTATCACATTTTTACGCGATTTTTTTTTGATATTATCCTTTTCGGAGAGGAGACAACTCCTAATTTGTGTGAATTGTTAAAATCAGTCCAGCGGTTCTTAAGTTATAAGCGTAGTAACTAACACAACTTACATTTATATATATAGATATATATATATATATATATATATATATATATATATATATATATATATATATATATATATATATATATATATATTTATATATATAGATATATATATATATATATATATATATATGGGCCCGGTCCGCGTTGCCGACCCGTAGTGCAAAAATGTCACTACAGGTTGTGCGACATAAGTGGCACAATTTTAAGTATGAATAATGACTCGACTAATTAGAAATAAATACGTATCGCAAAAATTTCAGCAATGCCAAATGGTTCACGTAACGGGCAATTTTTAGTGTTTCAAAAACATATTTTTCAAGCTGAGATTTTAATTTGAGAGTCAAACGCATAAATAATAAGTCACATATTTAATAAAGTATACATTAAATGTTTATAATAGCCCATGTAAGATGGTTCTCTACCCCATATTAGCCTAAACACATATTTTAAGCCAAATTGATTCGAAAATATAATCAAAACACTCGAAATAGGTAAAATCAGGAGGTACTTTTATGTGGGCGCTTCTCCGAAACATTGACATTGAAACATTTCCGCGAAATGGTCTTCTACCCCCTTAACAGCTACGATGCCAAATAAAGGTAAGATCGATTGAAAATTTTCACCAAACTCTGGAAATAGCTGTTATCAGCGGATACCTTTATAAAAGGGTTATACCAATATATGTGTATGGCTGAGCTATATAAAATGGACCCTAAAAACGTTGAACCCGAACAATTTTTCAAGTATAACATAATTTTCCCCGTATAACATTACATGTGAGTTAAGGTTACTTTTAAGGGTTTGGAAGAATTTACCGAGGATATGCATACTTTTTTTTATAAATTTTCAATTCGCTCCACTATTTTATATAGGTCGCATATTACAGTGCCTCTTCATATTCGGTATTTCAATTTGAGGTATTTTGAAGGGATCAAAAGCAATTTTTGAGGTTAGAAATCATTTGTCAAAAAATTACAACATATTAAAATGAGTGCGCTATTCGATGTTATATGCGATCTTTCATGTGTAAAATTGGCATCTGGCTTTCAACTCCATCGTGCTTCAGCTGGAAGATGCGAACACATTTAAACAAACAAATTTGACTGACAAAGGTTTATAGGCTCATTTCAAAACGTGGACCTACTTCTTTCATATGACAATAATCCGTCCAGTGAGAACTGAAAATGCAAAATTCATTGGGACTGCCATCAGTGAAATACCGAATATAAAGGGCGCAAAATAGTAGAGCCAACTGGACGTTTTGTAAGAAAAGGATTTCTATCCTTCCAGAAAATTTTCCTAAAATTTCATAAATCGCTTTTGCAGGTCATGATATGGGTCATAAACCCCCGGATTAGGGTACAACCCGGTAATGGCATAAATATTTCAATTTTGGAAAAAGGGCCCATCTTGGTCTAGACCACATTCATCAATTGATTTGGATAAAAAAAATGTATCTAGGCTACCCAGGGGTAGAGAACCGTCGTACAGATAATTGTCCACATAGGGATTTTTTTAAGTATAGTCCCCACATTAGTGTACCCCCATGTCAACTTTCTCAACCAATGTGCGGTTAAAATATAATATTTTTATTCTATTGAATTTGCAAACCCCAAGAGATTATTGGTTGGGAACGTAGATTTGGGATGTACATCTATGTGAAATAAACTGCGAAATGTGAAAAAGCGACTCCGTCAGTTGGAAATTGTGGCAGAAACATCAAAAAATACGAATATTAGATAGTAGCACGGGACCGAATATTTATTTAATCGTCATTGAATTAAATTATAATGAAAAATGTGGAATTAATTCCAATCTTATGGTAATGCGTATAAAATAGCAATTATCTTTGACTATTCTGAAATCATTCTGTCATCTTTTATGATGTGGTTAAAAGTACATACCACACAGTACGTTTTCTAAAAGTTGGAAACATAAACTCTAAATTACAGCTCATTTGAATGGAAGATGCTGCTAAGCTCTTTACAAAAAAAAAAAAAAAAAAAAAAAAAAAACCAAAATTGAGCAGGGTTTTCACCTGGGGCTATTTTAGATGCTCTATTTCATATTGGTGTTTAACACTTAAATTAAAGCCTATGACTGAAAAATAAGATCAGGTTATTCAAAATATGTAAAACCGACAGTAGGTGAACATCTATTATAATTTTCGTTGTTGCAAAATGGTCAGGCTTAATCTCATTATTGTTGTTTTTATAAAAACAAAGTTTGTTTATTAGTGGAGAACGATGGTAATGTTTACCAGGGGGTAAGACAGGAAATACCTAGGTTTCGGAAAGAGCCACCAATCCTCATCAGTTTCCTGATTATTTCAAAAATAACTTCTATGACAAAAATAATATTTGCCATGAATATTTATTTCTATGCGTTAAGGACTAAATGTACGGGCCGGCAACGCGGACCGCGCCAGCTAGTATTTATGAATAAAAATATTCATAGAACACGAAAGGATCATACTAATATTTATATCAGTATCGGACAATTCCTTCTGGTACCTTTCCCACAAAGGTCGACATTTTGAATAATTATAACTTACTAACTGGCCCTGTCCGCGTCGCCGGACCGTAGTTTCAGTCTTTAATGCATTGTTTTTAAAGTATAATAATTCACAGATCTGGCTCACATAAGTGGCACAATTTTATGTATAAACAATGACTCGACTAAAAAGAAATAAATACGTATCGCAAAAATGTTAACACAAGTTCACGTAACGGGCTATTTATAGTGCTTCAAAAACCTGATCCTATTTTTCAGTCAGCGATTTTAATTTCAGAGTCAAAAACCTAAACAATAAGTCACATATTTAAAAAAGTATACATCAACTGTCTATATAGTCCATGTAAGATGGTTCTCTACCCCCATGTTAGCCTAAACACACATATTAAGCCAAATCGATTCGAAAATATAATCAAAACCCTCGAAATAGTTACATTGACATAGAAATGTTCCCACGAAGCGGTCTTCTACCCCTTAGAAGCTACGATGCCAAATAAGGGTAAAATCAATTGAAAAATGTGGACAAGACCCTGGAAATAGCTGCAATCAGCGGATACCTTCATATACTCCTATACTTATAAAATTTCGAAAGAATTTGTTGTTCTTTCTAAAATCTCATATTACCAACATTTGAAGAATTTAAATAGGGCTGTATCATAAAGGGGGGGTATATCACAATGCAGACCGACCTGATACATATTTTGTACAAATGATTCTTCATGTTAGCCCTAGGATTGTATAAAATTTAAAACTCTATCGTAACTTTTGCGGAGTATAGAGCAAAACATTTGAGGCCCTTTGTGTATGTTTGAGCTATATAAAATGGACCTTAAAAACGTTGGACCCGAACAATTTTCCAATTGTAATTACCCGCAGTGTAATAACTGACGATAGCGCATAGTCCCCGTATAACATTGCATGTGAGTTAAGGTTACTTTTAAGGGTTCGGAAGAACTTACCGAGGATATGAATCCTTTTTTTAACAAGTTTTCAATTCGCTCCACTATTTTGTATAGTCCGGCAACACCTTCAAATCTTGACATTAGATTTATATACACTTAAGTTATTTCACCCGAAAAAGAAGGTATCAGTACGACAACACCGGGTGAGATGAAAACCAACTGCAACCAACTTCAGACTACTGTTATTTCTTTAGAAAAACCAAAACCTTGGAAAATCACAAGTATGAGAATAAATCTTTTGTGTCTCCTACCATCCCTCGTTACCGTGATACTAGTAGCGTAGTCCGACGTCAAGGAATGGGACGGAAGAAAATAGCAACATTAGCACTGGCCGGAAAATGGCTCGTGAGCTGAACATATCGCAATATTCTATTCGGCAAATATTTAAAAAAAATGAGCTCGGGGTAAAGCCATTGAATTTCCAAAAAGTGCAAGAACTTACAACGCAACAGAAAGAAAATAGATTCAAAAGCCGAAAGTGGTGAGCTGTCGAATTTGGGTTTCTCCGATGAGAAAACATTCGTTGTCCAGCAGTTTGTGAACAAACAAAATGATCGTGTTTACTTACCAAAGAGGTCAGCTGAAATGTGCACCTTGGGTTGTCCACCAGGATTCAAGCGACGGCCATGGTGATGGCGAGGGCCGCCATAACAGCCGATGGTCGCTCTCCGCTCGTATTAAGCGTCCGTGGCATCAGAATAAATGCCGAATATTATCGCGAAAATAGTCTGGAGGGTGTATTAAAGCCTTGGGCACGCAAGCACTTTGGCCGCAGACTTTGGACATTCCAACAGGACTCAACACCATCGCACGGTTTCATTGGCCGTTTGAAGGCTATAATTCGTGCCAAAGGTGACTAATTCGAACAAATCTAAACTTAATCTAAAATTTGACGCTATTTCCAATACTTTTTGCTTTTATTCAATAAAATTAAAAAAAATAATAATTATGGCGTTGGACTTTGTTGCAATTTTTATCTCACCCTGTACTTAGGAGGAAAGCGCGAATATATTGAACATCAACAGGATGAAGACTTCGTTCTTAGATGAACATATTGGGCTGACATTTTTTCAAAGTTAAACGAATTTAACTTATATCTGCAAGGCTGAAAACAATCCAATATTTTTTGCAGTTCCAGAAAAAAATTTAGCGATAGCTTTGAAACCCTAATAGTACAAACGAAAGTGCAGACAAAGATGAACTTACTATTGTAGATTTTCTCGAATTTTAGTAAGAAATAACGTCGACACTCCGGGTGAGATGAAAACACTAGAAAATTCGAGTTGGATTTGTAAGACATTTCTGAACCTACTACCAACTAATATGTCGACAAAAGTAAGTGGAGACTTATTAATATACTTTAATTATCCTTGCCTGTTTGACCAAGCTATCAATGTCTTCCTGCCCTATACTATTTTTATCTTTTCGACTTTTTGTGAATTACTTCAATAGGTATTTCCATAAATTTTTAAGTTATACCTATACTAGCTGAACACGGTGAGCTTCGCTACTCCTTTTGATTTGATATGCATTCAAAATAAGACATATTCAAAAATTAAAAAAAAAAAAACTTAATTATGCAATACTTTTAGGCGTAAACAAACAAATAGCTCGGTCTACCAACGCGTGAACATGCCAGAAAAAGCTGACCATAAGAAAAGTAGGAACATGCCAAATTTGGTCCGCATACATGAAGAGTTTGTCTTTCGAATTTATTAATTTCATAGCAAATGCCAAGCGTGCAGGGAACTGCTTTATTTTAAAGTTGAGTGGCATTTCTGTTTGCAATTAAAGAATTCGAGGTAGTAACATACTTGCCTGTAATAATCGTATCCTCAATTAAATTGTAGTGTAGCTCTTTACTGTTAGCTTAATAACATTGCCAAGGCATTGTGGGTTAATGCTTCTTAATAAAATCATATCCCAATCTGAAACGATTTCAATATAATTTGACAAAATTTACTTTTACACCAAATTCCGTCACACCTTCCATATTTTATTGAAATTGGAAGTACAGACCGTGTTTGGTGCATTAAATATGTGAAATCGGCCAAGAATATATATAGGGAAATTATATCCAAATCTTAACCAATTACTAATTAATTTGACAAATTCATTATTGGAACCAAATTCCGCCACACATTCTGAATTTCATTGGAATCGGACATACATATCGTGTTAGGTGCTAACATACATGAAATCGGCCGAAATATATATAGAAGCTATACCCCAAACCTCAACCGATTTCAATATAATTTGGCAATTCTTTGGTACCAAATTTCGTCTCTCTTTCGTCTTCATTGGAATCGGACATACATATCGCATTGGGTGCATCAAATATGTAAAATCGGCCGACAATAAATATGGATGGGAGCTATATCCAAACAAATTTGTTAGACAAAATTCCATCACACATTCTAAATTTCATTGAAATGTGACGTACACAGCGTGTTTAATGCATCAAATACATGAAATCGGCCGAAAATATATATGGGAGCTCTATCCAAATCTGAACCGATTTCAATATAATTTGGCAAATTTACTTTTGTTCCAAATTCCGTTATGCATTCCAAATTTGGAGACTGTATCTGTAATCTATCAATAGATATGTGTATATAAAATGTGTTTTCTGCACACCAATCTGTTGTTTAGTCTGATGTTGCTTGCGTTTTTTGCCTTATTGTAGTCCTTGTGACATTGTGCGCGTTCCTCTTTTGAAGTTGAGCAAGAATTTGTTGCAGCTGTGCTGTCTGGTTGTCATACGGATGAAATCTGGCAAACCCTACGTTGGTGCCAGTTACACCTGCCACTACGAGGAGATGCAGCATCGTATTGTGTCGGGAACCATACATACGACAGGTCCCTAGCCAACCACAAAATCTTGCTACGTGGTTTCGTCCGGGACAGTTCTTGCAGTATCTGCGGGCCAATACCACACTCTCCCTTTGCTCCACTGTCATCACTTTAAATGCAGGACAGTTCCTCAGGTGATGAATGCCGTAGCAAACCAGACATACTTCACATTGGCCCATATTCATGATTATGTAAATGTAAAAAAAATATCCAAAAAAACGTCATTCAAAGTATTGCATATTAGACATTTAATCATGAAACACATACCCACATTACATTTCTACTGACAACCACTGACTGGGAGTACACATAACTTTACAATAGGACGAAATATTATACCTCTTGTAGTTTTTACATCACCTACTCTTACGTTTTCATCGGGCCCTTCATGCTCTTTTACCACACGTCCCATTTTCCAGTCATTTGGAGGTAGCAGTTCACCCTTGACTAATAGCAAGTCATTTTCTTTAATATTTCGTTTAGGATATCGCCATTTGTATCTTTTATGGAGTTCCTGGATATATTCTATTTTTCCATCAATTGGCATTTCCGGAGTGAATAATAACGATCCACCTCTTAGAAAATGTGCCCGGGTTAAAGCCTCTAAATCTTCTGGATCCTCTGACAATGTTGTTAAAGGCCTAGAGTTTAAAACACTCTCTATTCTCACTAAAATAGTGGCAAATACCTCA